CTTGATTGCTCCAGGAAGTCTCGGGGTAATACCACTCGGGTGGTGGTGGATACCCCCAATTGTTGGAGAAGCCATGAGGATCCATGATTCAGATCTGCACCAACAAAAACAAAAACACCCAAGTGAAAAGCAAGGGTGGAAAAGAAAAGAAAAGAAAAACGCTAAAGTAACAAACTTCTGCCTTTCCTAATAATCTAGAAAGTCCCCGGCAATGGCGCCAAAAACTTGACTCGCTATGACACAACTCCTAACAATGGCCAAGTGTAACCAATGTAAGGGACTGTAGTATAGTGGCTCAAGTGATAAATATCGAATCCACGGGTCTCTAGAGTTACTATTACTCAGCTTCAGTTTATTATTTAGCAAACCATATTAATAAGGAGGAACTAAAACTACTCTAGCAAACTACAGTTAAAGTTAATCTATTTACAGGTTGGGAACTCACTTACGTATGACTCCCCCTAGCCACTAGCCAGAATAACGATTGATGATTTCTAACCTGTTTCACTTTCATTCACAATGCGGAGAATCCTTGACTAGACCTTGAGTCTCGACTAAAGGAACAAGGCCCTCTTGAGTCAATTGCCTAGAGGGACGTATCCTTCTCTAGAACAACCGATTAAGGCGTTCTGAACTAGATCCCCTCTATCGAATGAGGTTCTCAATCGATACAAAACCGTGAATCAACCCTCGACTAAAGCAATCGATCCACTACCATCAATCTATGGTGCTCTATTGACCTAATCAGGTATTCTCTCTCATAGGATCAAAACAGAATTGAATCATGAAAACATGCATAGATTGAATATGAACTCAAGATTATCAAGTCAGAGTACTCATACAATCATCCAATCAAACAAACATAGCTAGGGTTCCTCAAAACCTAAGTGAATGGAAGTTACTCCATAGAGAAGAGAGAGACTGCAGTAAGAATCTTCAGATGATCAGTCTTCAAGTCCGAGCTTGTTCCTCGAGCTTCCAAGGCGAAGAAATCCTCCAATTCCACTCCAAGAATGCCCTCAAATCGCCCTCTCTCTCTTTGGTTCTTCCCTTGGGTGTTTGGGATCCAAAACCCATATCTCCCTTTCCTTTGGCTTCAATCTGCCTAAAAACCCCGATTATGAGCAAAACACGGTCGAGGACACGACCGTGTTTTGCTTTTGCCCGCCAGTGTTTTTACTGCCGAACATGTTCCCCTATATTCAATGCTTCGTTTCTCCCTCGTTCGGACTCTGAATCAGTCGCCGTTTGATCCGAGACGCTCGTAGTCTCGTCCTATTTATTTTCATGACAAGCTTGCATGATTCTTTGTCCATAAAGTGAGGTAGAAATCTATTCTTCTTCAGATGATGCCCGAGTTTCTTCTCCCTAATCGCAAATTGATCTCTGATTGATTGAAACTTGCGCCTATGCTTCACTTTATGTTCTAGGACCTGAATTGTGACAAAGGAACACAACCTAGCGTAAAATAGGCCAAAGAATCGATAATTAAAGCTCAAACGATCAAGAAACAAAGGGGAAAACATGTGCAAATATCGAGTCATCAAGCCCAGACCACTGGAAGAAGGTGACATGGTCCTAAAAAGAAACTTTGAACAAAAAGAAGGGCATGGCAAGCTGGCAGCCGCATGTGAAGGGCCATACCTCGTTGGGGAGAAGTTGGGGCCAGCAACATACGTGCTTGCCACAATGGGAGGAAAGCCAATGACGAAAACTTGAAATGCCATTTACATGAAGAAGTACTTTAAAGAATAGTCCAAAATAGGGGAGAAAGCCGCTGACCGCTGGCTCTTTTGGATGCAAGTCAATTACAATGATAACATGCGGCTACTTTTGGGGAGAAATCCCATATTTAAGAGCCACCAATTCCAGAGTGGTGGCCAAACTTTCAAATTTGTGAAAACGCCACCGAGCGTTCATCTTCTACTCATCCAAGTGTTAAAAGCCTAAAATTGTTCAAAAAATTTAAAACATCCATAGAGCGATAAGTTTGACATTGTTCAAACAATACGAAATCCGCTTCAGAGCGTCACTCTTTAAAGCAAACTTATAATAAAAAAATGCCTCGGAGTGTCATGCGTAAAAGGAGAAACATGTTCACAATTACACAACCGCCCCACATAAATGAGCTCTAATTTGGGTGAACAACATTGAAACCGCCTCAGAGCGTCATGCTTCAAAGCAAACTTCAAAACTACCAACGCCTCAGAGTATATGTACAGAAGTCTCATGACCGCTCCTGAGCGTTGTACTCTCAATAGATAGCCGCCACAGAGCGCCAAACACCAGATTCTTCGCGATCCAAAACCGCCACAGAGTGTATCATTTTGAATCAAGTCACAAGTTGAAACCGCCTTGGAGCACCAAATTTCCAATGTCATTCTATCAGTGAGGATAGGTTCAAGGACCCGCCGACGACCTAACAACCGCTGCCGAGTGTTAGCCAATTTTCAAAAGCTTGCAAAATGGGTGGGGCATATTTAATAGCATTACACAAAAAGGGCATCACAGTGGCGCCCAAGAATATTCACTGCACGGGGGCAGATTTAGTTTTCAAGACTGGAGAAAGGAAACAGAAAGAAAGTAAAGCGACAAATTCATCAGGCGGTCCTTTTCAATCTTGCTGGTCATTCTCTTCACCTTCGGCGGTCTCACTGGGAGTACTGGTAGTTGGATCGGTTGCGGTCGGAGTAGCAACATGTTTGGAGTTGACATCGTCGTCACTCCAATACTCAACTGTGTCCCAGATTGCGTTGGTGTCCCACGCAACCTCGGGATGCTTGCGGCGAAACCAGCGACGAATAGCAGCCACAGTATCTCGTAGCAGCTTGTTGTACTTCGCATAGTCAGCGGCCTTGAAATCATCCGAGGTCCAGAACGCCACCCTTGCCTCATCAGCAGCTTTGAGCATATCTACCTTGCGAGCATCCTGCATCTCGGCCTTCTCAGTCCTGATCTGCAAAGCATTTTCCTGAGCTACCGAGTCGTTGACTTCCTTCCGTAACCGCTCAGCGTCCTCTTCAGCTTTCCTCAGCAACTCCTTGGTAGACTCTAACTGAGCGTCCTTATCCTTCAAAACAGACTCCTACTCCTTCAAAATCTCCTCCCGCAACTCCGCCTTCACCCCCTCGCGGCCCTCCTTAAGTTGATCCTCCAGTTGGAGAACCTTGGTATTCCTGTCGTCCAGGTTACTCTGCAGGCGGTCGTTGTGCAACATCATCTGATTTAACCCAAATTGGGTATGCAAAAGACCAAAGTTAGCAAAATGAGGTTTGAAAAGAGCAAAAGGGGCAAAGGAGCACACGCGTACCGCAAAGAAGAATTGGGTGGTTTCACTCGCCAAGTGTCTTGTGTCCGACGTCAGGACATGAGTTCCCGCAATGTGTGTGTAGTCATCTATGACCGCCAACCACTTGACAATCACGTGCATGGCGTGCTTGACAGCCACAGGATACAGTGATGCTTGGGGGAAAAAAAGAAACGGAGGTGTCAAGGGAGGTCCTCTTCTGCCTCTTGGACGCGAGGTAGTTATCAATTGGAGTAGTCGGATTCTCAACAAGGATGACTTTCAGTCGAGCCTCGCCAGCGGTTGACCTCTTGTCTTTCGAGGTCGTTAAATCCAATGTTCGCTTGTAGGAGCCTCTTGTAAGAGCTAGCTCCGACAGCTTTAGCACTCCCGTGCGACTAGCCACTAGGTGCTTCTATGATGGCGAAGCAGGCTGTGCGGCAGGAGCCGCTGGTTGAGTGATAGCGGAAGAAGTGTAATGACGGGTTCCTTCAAAATGAATACATAAGTAAAGAACATGAGACGCGCATCAACACAAAGAGAAATGAACTAACCGTGAAAGCGCAGAATAATCTCCAGGACATTATCATCGCCCTTGGGAGGAAGGTGAAACTGAACAGCACTCATAATCCGCTTTAAGAGCGGTGACTCGCTACGACACAACTCCTAACAAAGGCCAAGTGTAACCAATGAAAGGGACTGCAGTATAGTGGCTCAAGTAATAAATATCGAATCCACGGGTCTATAGAGTTAATATTACTCAGCTTCAGTTCATTATTTAGCAAACCAGATTAATAAGGAAAAACTAAAACTACTCTAGCAAACTACAGTTAAAGTTAATCTAATTACTGGTTGGGAACTCACTTAGGTATGATTCCCCCAGCCACTAGCCAGACTAACAATTGATGATTTCTAACTTTTTTCACTTTCATTCACAATGCGGAGAATCCTTGACTAGAACTTAAGTCTCGACTAAAGGAACAAGGCCCTCTTGAGTCAATTGCCTAGAGGGACGTATCCTTCTCTAGAACAACCGATCAAGGCGTTCTGAACTAGACTCCCTCTATCGAAAGAGGTTCTCAATCGATACAAAGTAGCGAATCAACCCTCGACTAAAGCAATCGATCCACTACTATCAATCTATGGTGCTCTATTGACCTAATCAGGTATTCGCTCTCATAGGATCAAAGCAGAATCAATAATCTCGACTAAAGCAGAATTGAATCATGAAAACATGCATAGATTGAATATGAACTCAAGATTATCAAGTCAGAGTACTCATACAATCATCCAATCAAACAAACATAGCTAGGGTTCCTCAAAACCTAAGTGAAGGGAAGTTACTCCATAGAGAAGAGAGAGACTGCAGTAAGAATCTTCAGATGACCAGTCTTCAAGTCCGGGCTTGTTTCTCGAGCAAAGAAATCCTCCAATTCCACTCCAAGAATGCCCTCAAATCGCCCTCTCTCTCTTTGGTTCGTCCCTTGGGTGTTTGGGATCCAAAACCCAGCTCTCCCTCTCCTTTGGCTCGAAATTGGCTTAAAAAACCCGATTCTGGGCAAAACACTGTCGAGGACACGGCCGCGTTTTGATTTTGCCCGCCCGTGTTTAGACTCGTGTTAAAAATACGCCCGCGCGCGTTGGACAAAACACGGTCATGCCTAAATATGGGCACGGTCGTGTTTTGATTTAGGCGCGCCCGTGTTTTTACTGCCGAACCTGTTCCCCTATATTCAATGCTTCGTTTCTCCCTCGCCCGGACTCCGAATCAGTCGCCGTTTGATCCCACACGCTCGTAGTCTCGTCCTCTTTAGTTTCATGACAAGCTTGAATGATTCTTTGTCCATAAAGTGAGGTAGAAATCCATTCTTCTTCAGGTAATGCCCGAGTTTCTTCTCCCTAATCGCCAATTGATCTCTGATTGACTTGAAACTTGCACCTATGCTTCACTTTATGTGCTAGGACCTAAAATGTGACAAAGGAACACAACCTAGCGTAAACTAGGCCAGAGACACAATTATCAAAGCTCAAATGATCAAGAAACAAAGGGGAAAACATGTGCAAATATCGAGTCATCAGCGGCCTGAAAGACTCAAGACCTCTATATCAACATACAACCTCGATCGTTGGTAGAGGATTTCCTAGATCATATAGCAGCTTACGAGGTCAACTGGTCTTCTAAGACGTTCCCTATCTCTCTCAATGCGAGTACTAGACTCAAGCCAGGATCATGAGAAGAAGTAGAAGTAAGACAGTCAGTTCATGGATAAAGGGACTCACACCATTCACAACCAAGGACTCGTTGTACCGGGGTTCTCTTTCACTTCATTTCACCGTTGGAACCCCTTTTCACTTTCATTTTACTTTTTTCTTTTTCATTCACTTGGCAGGGGTTCCAACTGCAGTCTTTTGCACGGTCGACCCTTATTAGTCGAGCAAGAGCAATTTCTGTACATCTGGCGCTCGCCAGAGTACTTCTTTTAACTCCTTTTCCTCAACTCGTGTGGAGGGTCAATGAAATTAAGGGGGGTCGGAAGCTCTATCCGTGCCCTTAAAAACACATCCTCAAGTAGGCAAACCATTCAACGGGTGAAAGTTTTACTTGCACTAGAGACAGCTTAGCCTCACCTTGTAGGAGTACCCCACTAAGGATCACTAAAATCTCTTCCAAAACCCGATTTGGTGCAATGAATGGTGCCGCACACGTTGGGCTTACCCCATGTTTAAGATTTTATGAATTTGACATGGAGGACCAAATGCTTTTCATTTTTCACATGAGCACCCTGTTCGATACACGAGTCCATAACACAATCCAAACAGAGTCACCATTACCACATGAATTCAACGGTCTTAGCTCCACTAATTCACAAAATCAACTGGCACAGCAGAGAACTAGATAGGAAAAATCATATACTTCAACATCCTCCATAGTGCTACACTACCTCCCTAGGTTTCACATTACTATAGAGACTGTCAATTCAAAGCATACTGAGCAGGCAATTTGCAAGGAAACACGTACTTGGAGCCTTCAAATTTAAAAATTTAGACAGTGGACTAGTCTACAAGCACACAAACAGCCAAACATTCACCCGCATACATAATCGAACATCCCCCCACACTTAAGCACGACATTGTCCTCAATGGAGGAAAGATAAGGAGGGTAGAACGAAGTTACCAGATCCAGGGTGAATGATGGTGGACGGGGCAGGCGGTGTATTCCAGGAGGAAAGAGTGGTCAGACCACAAACACCACACAAAATCTCACAAAGGTTGAGTTATTGACTCTAAAATCAAATAACAAAACTGACTACACCGAGGAGAAAAAGAGAAAGAAATGCAAACCGACTGGTTGGGTTGCCTCCCAACAAGCGCTTCTTTCACGTCGTGAGCCGGACGATGGCTCCTAAGTTTCGCTCCACCCCAAAACCTCCTTGAAGTTGAGGTTCTCGTCAATGATGTGGAGTCTCAAGTCACGAGCATGTGGTATGACAGGTGATGGAAGCTCGTGCACTTGATGCGGATGAAGTCTCCACCCTCGAGACCTCTTCTTCTCTTCTCTCGTCTCATTGCCCCAAACCAGATATGACAGTATCGATTGACCACCATCGCGTCCACCAAAAGGGACCGATGTCGACGTGACCTTGGTATGGCAAAGAGACACTGCAAATGGATCCTTGCTAAGTAGTTCCTCGAAGTTTGGTGGAGATATCAAATGTAACTCATGGCCGGTGCAAGCCTCTTCCACCTCAACTTCGTCCTCAGCCTGGACGCCAATTGCTTCTTCAACCTCCCTTCCTTGTTCATGTGGTATCACCCCTGGGAAATGATCAAGAACTCCTCCTGCTTCACTTTCGTCATCCTCCACAACTTCTTTCTGCACCCTTTCTTGCTCTTCTTCTTCTAACAAGGATGGGAGAGCAAGTTGCCAAGAAATTTCTTTCATGATATCTTCTTGCATCTCCTCACTCATGCCCGCCTCTTCAAAGCTCAGTTTGGGATGTGGGAAGGTGTGGTCGGCTATGATATGACATTCCTGATCATGATCATCATGGGAGCTCTCTGTGACAACTTCATTATGCTCCACTATGTCCTTGTAGCCTTCTTCTTCCTCCTCCTCTTCTTGTATGGTAGCAGAAGGGTGATCTGGAGCAGGTTGTGCGAAAGATCGCTCAAGATTATCGGCGCTCTTCTTAAGGCTCAGGAGGATCTCCTCTGTTTCACGATAGGCCTGGACACAATGATCCATCCTGGAGCATGATCTCTCACAATCTCGAGCAAACTACTCCATGAGAAGCCTCAATTCATAGTTTGGATCTGGCTGTGGAGTGTAGCATTGCTCTGCAGAATGGCCCGTGAAGGCCGCCATGTGTAACTCCAGCGCCGATGGCCCTTCTGGTTGTGGGAGAAATTCTTCTTGATAATGAGGTTGTTCTTGATATGCCCAGGGGTCTGGTTGTTCTCCGTAGTAAGGGGGTTGGTACTGGAACCCGAATCCATAGTCTTCTCCTCCTTGATTGCTCCAGGGAGTCTCGGGGTAATACCACTCGGGTGGTGGTGGATACCCCCAATTGTTGGAGAAGCCATGAGGATCCATGATTAAGATCTGCACCAACAAAAACAAAAACACCCAAGTGAAAAGCAAGGGTGGAAAAGAAAAGAAAAGAAAAACGCTAAAGTAACAAACTTCTGTGTAACATCCCGACATTTGAAGTCTAGGTTCGACCGAACATTTTGATTGACGATTACGTACGAAGGGTTCGACCTTAGATTAGAGATAATAGTAATAATAATAATTATTATTATTATCATAAAAAAAAAATTTAATTATCACTCATCACTCACTGCACGTTTTCTCTCCCATGGCAAGCTATAATCATTATTATCACCACCGCCTACTTTAACCCCCCACCTGCATGTATTCCCCCCCCCCCCCCAGCAAGCCGTTACTACATTAAACCCTCCTCCACCGTAAATTGCAGTAGGCAAAGAGAACCGAAGGAGAGGGAAATAGAAAGAAAGAAGGAATAAAGATCCTCCGTCGTTGTCATCACCATTCCACCGCAAGAGAAGCTTTGTGCAACCAAGCCTGCTTGCGAGAGCAAACGAGCAGTAGCAGCGCCAACCAGTACTCCGTCCCGGAAGGCCAACGCCAACGTCGTTATCGACCAAAAGCGTTCTCCATATGGAACGGTAGAGCTTCGATGGCGGTCCCGGCGTAGTCAATCTCCACCAAGCATCGAAACCTTGGTATCATCGTGAAGGGGGAAATCTCAGTAGCACCCCGGTTTCGACGGAATCGAGTTTCAACGTCGGACGAGGAAGATACGAGTCTCTAAAGCTTGAGACGTGAATCAGATAGTTCAGGTACCATTACTGTCTGTTCGAAAAGTATAAGGACTTAGGGGTAATTTCATTTTCATGGTAGGATAATTTTATAAATAAGAACAAATCAATAGGGTGTTTGGATATTAATTCAAGAATTTTTGGAGCTGTTGTCCTAATTATAAAAATAAATTGGTGGGAAGACTATTTCAGTTAAATAAAATAGTATGCGAATGTTTTTACTAGATTTGATAATTTTAGTATAAGCAATATACACGTATGTTTGTTCATAAATTATTTGGTAATTGTTAGAGCGGACTCGCTACTTATAAAAATTTAGATGGTGTCGGTTTTAAATTATTAAAGTGTTGTAAGAATATTTCTATTACATTTTTTTAATTTTAGGTGAAACTAGAGTATATCTTCTACGTTAGAAATTGGATACCAGAATTTTAGGCATTTGTGGCATAGGCTCGAAAATTAGTTTTGTTAAAGTAAATAAGAAGGAGGGGTTAATGAAGGTGTAAATTATAGTTAATGATTTTGGTTTATGTTTTAAGTTATTAGAAGTCAGAATTTGTAGTTTGAGGGGTAATGGATTTCTTTTGGGAAGTTCATGAGAATTTTTAGGAGATTTATGCAAGAGATTATTTAATTAGTTAGGATGAGTTAAGACCTTTTTAAGGAATTATGGGACTAAGCTAGGAGAACGGGAAGTTTTGGGAAATAGCGACTAAGGGAAATTTAATCTCGATTTATAGGATCAAGGAGGCGATCAAATTAAGGGACCCCACTTCAAAGGAAGTAAAGTGTCGGCACTTGAGAGGTGAGTGTAAAGGGGGTAAAATCTCCGTCGAGGTCTTTCAGTTTATGCCTTTTTAATTCAGTTATGTTATCTAATATTCAAGTAAGCGCGATTATGTGTGTGAGGCATCCCACCGCCTACTTAAGGTGGAGGCACGCGTTGTGCTATGTATGTGTGTGTCTATGATGTATGGATGATGATAATTGAACCCCCGGGCGGTTGGGCCACTACTGGACGCGGTAGATGGTTGGGTCACTACTGGACGGCGATACGTAACGCAGTAGTTGACCGGGCATGGACTGGACGGCGATACGTAACGCAGTACCATTGCCTTGAGGATAGGGACACCGGACGGCGATACGTAACGCGGTGAACCCTAGTAAGAAGTACATAAATTAAGATAGACGTACAGAACTTCTATAAGCTAACAGGGACTAAAATATTAAGGATGAAAGCGAGAACGGCTTTCATGTAAGAGGAAGTAATTTCTAATAATGTATTAGTAGGGTTTGCTTAGGCAAAGACCTTAGAAAGTAACGACGAGACTGACCCCTTCTCACTCACCAGGTGTGGAAAGGGGAAGAGGACATAACCAGCACCAGGAGGTTGATCAAGGAGGGCAGCCGGGTCAAGCTTGAAGATGTCGGAAGGATCAGGGTATTGAGATGGGACCCTTTTTATCATATTTGTCTTTATTTCTTGTCCTATGAGTATACTGGGAAACTCAGGTTTTCTGTTCAAATGTTTGGATTGAGATTTGCCCAACTGTTTAGGGCTTTTCGTTTGAGATTTTTGGTTATTGTCGTTGGTTAATTTTTGGTTTGACTTAAAAACATGGTTTGGGTTGCTCCGGAGTAACTGGGTTTTGTTTTAAAATTGTGGTTTGAGTTTTTTTTTCTTCCCAAAAGAATCGGGTTGTTTCATTCTGCCTTTCCTAATACTCTAGAAAGTCCCCGGCAACGGCGCCAAAAACTTGACTCGCTACGACACAACTCCTAACAAAGGCCAAGTGTAACCAATGAAAGGGACTGCAGTATAGTGGCTCAAGTAATAAATATCGAATCCACGGGTCTCTAGAGTTAATATTACTCAGCTTCAGTTCATTATTTAGCAAACCAGATTAATAAGGAAAAACTAAAACTACTCTAGCAAACTACAGTTAAAGTTAATCTAATTACTGGTTGGGAACTCACTTAGGTATGATTCCCCTAGCCACTAGCCAGACTAACAATTGATGATTTCTAACTTGTTTCACTTTCATTCACAATGCGGAGAATCCTTGACTAGACCTTGAGTCTCGACTAAAGGAACAAGGCCCTCTTGAGTCAATTGCCTAGAGGGACGTATCCTTCTCTAGAACAACCGATCAAGGCGTTCTGAACTAGACTCCCTCTATCAAAAGAGGTTCTCAATCGATACAAAGCAGCGAATCAAACCTCGACTAAAGCAATCGATCCACTACTATCAATCTATGGTGCTCTATTGACCTAATCAGGTATTCGCTCTCATAGGATCAAAGCAGAATCAATAATCTCGACTAAAGCAGAATTGAATCATGAAAACATGCATAGATTGAATATGAACTCAAGATTATCAAGTCAGAGTACTCATACAATCATCCAATCAAACAAACATAGTTAGGGTTCCTCAAAACCTAAGTGAAGGGAAGTTACTCCATAGAGAAGAGAGGGACTGTAGTAAGAATCTTCAGATGATCAGTCTTCAAGTCCGGGTGACTCGACTCTACTGTCACTCCAGGAATTGGCCAAGTGAAACCACTTCCTAAAGTGTAGTATAGCGGGTTTGGGTTTAATTATCAACCCGGGTCCTAGATTTGATGACTACTCAGTGAATTCTTGTTATCTAGAAATGAAACTGGAATGCAAGTCTAAACTACCAAACAAACAAAGCAAGTAAACGGTTGTATTCAGGTTAAGAGAGGTCACCCGGATATGGTTCCCCCTAGACTGCAGTTAAGCCGGATTGTAATTACCAAGTTCAGATTCTATGATAGTTATACTGCGGAAGGTTCTTAAACAGCCTGAAGTCTCGACTAAAGGTCTTCAGACCCTCTCAATCTGAATCTCTAGCGGGCGACTAACCTCCACCGGAGTAGACAGATTGAGGCCCTAAGAACAAAACCTCCACTACCGGAGTAAATCCGGTACAGAATAATGAGTTGGTTCCTCGACTAAAGTCACCAACTCCCTACCTTCAATCAAGGATGCTCTATCAACCTAGGCAGATATTCTCATTCTAGGTTAAAGCAGAAACAACAGGAATTTGATCAGGATTCAAGTCATTCAATCATTCAAACCTCAATCGAATATAATCAATCATAGAATCAGTACTTGGGTTCATACAATCAAACCTAACATACAAATCTAGGGTTCTCCATACCCAGATGAATGGGAGAACTACTCCATGGAGAAGAAAGCAAAAGCAGAATCAGACGCGGAATTCATACTGTGAAGGATGGATTCCTGCTCCTGGACGTTGATTGGCACTTCTCCAAGCTCAAACAAGCCTCCAATGGTGTTGAAGATCAAGCTAGGGCGCTTGGGAACTCTTGTTCGTCGCTTTCTCTCTCTAGGAACTGATCTCTCTCTCTAAAACTCGAATCCCCCTTCTCTTTGGCTGAAAATCTGCTTAAAAAGGCATCAGTGGCCAAAGCACGGTCGAGGACACGGCCGTGCTTTGCCTGAGCCTGCCCGTGCCTCGGCCAGTGTTAATTACACGGCCAGCAGTTGGGGAGAAACACGGCCGTGTTTCGCGTTGGACACGGCCGTGCTTTTGTGGAACACGGCCGTGCTTTGCCTCGGCCCTGCCCGTGTAATCAACTCAGCTCTCGGCATAAAAAGCACGGCCACAGGAACACGGTCGTGTAATGCCTTAGGTGTGCCCGTGTTTTGGCCCCACCTTGACGAAATGACCTCCGAATGCCCCGAAACTCGTGGTTAGCCTTCCCTTTGACGCCTGGGACCTGAAATATGACAAGATAGCACAACCCGGCGTAAAATAGGCCAAAACACACGACTATGGCCCTCAAACGGATAAGAACTAGGGGCGCAAACATGTGCAATTACATCGTTATCACCAGGCTTGTTTCTCGAACAAAGAAATCCTCCAATTCCACTCCAAGAATGCCCTCAAATCGCCCTCTCTCTCTTTGGTTCGTCCCTTGGGTGTTTGGGATCCAAAACCCAGCTCTCCCTCTCCTTTGGCTCGAAATTGGCTTTAAAAACCCGATTCTGGGCAAAACACTGTCGAGGACACGACCGTGTTTTGCTTTTGCCCGCCCGTGTTTTGCTTTGTGTTAAAAATACGCCCGCGCGCGTCGGCCAAAACACGCTCATGCCTAAATATGGGCACGGCCATGTTTTGATTTAGGCGCGCCCGTGTTTTTACTGCCGAACCTGTTCCACTATATTCAATGCTTCGTTTCTCCCTCGTCCGGACTCCGAATCAGTCGCCGTTTGATCCCAGACGCTCGTAGTCTCCCTTTTTATTTTCATGACAAGCTTGAATGATTCTTTGTCCATAAAGTGAGGTAGAAATCCATTCTTCTTCAGGTCATGCCCGAGTTTCTTCTCCCTAATCGCAAATTGATCTCTGATTGACTTGAAACTTGCGCCTATGCTTCACTTTATGTGCTAGGACCTAAAATGTGACAAAGGAACACAACCTAGCGTTAAATAGGCCAAAGACGCAATAATTAAAGCTCAAACGATCAAGAAGAAAACATGTGCAAATATCGAGTCATCAAGCGGCCTGAAAGACTCGAGGCCCTCGATGTCAGTATTCCAATCCCTCTTGTCGCCAACCGCAAACCCCGTCGGCGGCTCAACACCCCTTGAATACCATTTTCTCTTGGGACGAGCAAAAAAGTACTCCTTAAATCAAGGAGAATCCAGCTTGGGCGCCCCGCGCACGAAGCCAACCTGTGTCTCTTGGCAGTAGCAGGACCAACAGTTATCAGAGCCCCGTACTTTGTATAACAGGCGAAACACATCAAAAGAGGGTGTTTCTCCGATCGTCTCGCAGGCGGCTCGGAAGGCGATGGAGTGAAAGATAATGTCGGGCGACAGGCGGCCCAAAGTACAATCGAGAAAAAGCAATGATCGTGTCAGGATGGGTCTAGAGGGAAGAGCAACCTCATCCGAATGTGCTCCACATGGATGGGAATCCACCCCCTAGGGCATGATCGAGACCATCCGACAGGGGAGGGAGCCGCATAGTTCCAGTCAGCAGGAAGACCATGAGTCTTTAGCTAACG